AAATATATGATGAATCTTTTTAAGTAAGCAAGTCAGAAAACAGAGATTTGAGAATCAAAAATCTAGGTTTGGATTAAATCTTAAAAAACAAGAATGAACTTGGCAAACAGGAAGCTTCGTTGACTTCATTTCATATGAACAACAAATGCTCATTGGAGAAGAAGATGGGAAGAAAATGAAATGATTAAAGAAATGAAAACAGAGATGGGAGTGACGAAAGGAAAATGTCAAAATTCAAAAGCCTTTTGCTGTTAAATGTTTGACATAAATACATTTTTTTTTTGTCTTCTTACTAAGAACATTCTCCCTACTTTTCTACTTTTTATTTTCCAGTTTCACCTTAAACAGAAACTATACATTTGTTTTTATTTTTTATTAAAAATAACTATTTATTGAATTTTTCAGATTTTTTCTTTAGATAATCTGCACTTGATGGAATAGAAAAGAATATTTATTAAGTATTTTTTTATAAAGAAAAACTATAAATTTGTTTTGATTAAAAAGAACTATTTATTGAATTTTCAGATTTATCTTTAGATAATTTGCACTTGATGGAAAAGAAAAAAGTTTTTTATAAAGAAAAAGTATAAATTTGTTTTTATTCTTGATTAAAAAGAACTATTTATTGATCTTTTCAGTTTTTTACTTTAGATAATCTGCACTTGATGGAAAAGAAAAAGGTATTTATTAAGTATTTATTGAACTTTTTTGGGAAGAAAATGTAATAAAACTTGGTTTTGGTCCTTTTGGATCAAGGTCAAAGTCAACATAACAATCCTAATCGTTCACTACATCATTAAATACTTTAGACTTTCTTTCAGTCTCCATGAAATTTTGTAGATCTATAATTAGATCATACGTAAAGTATAGAGTCTCCTAAATTTCTGCATTTCCTATATAATTCCTTTTCTATGTAAAGAGAACTTTGATTCGAGTTCAAAAGGTTAAAACCGTATCTGAGTATACACAAAAATAAAAGCTTGTTCATGATCAGCTGGCCACCAAAGATACATTACAAAGTTTTTTTGCCTCTTTAGACACGTGTCCGAGTCCTGTTAGATATAATAGATCTTGTCACCACTACTTCTCTACCGAAATTACATAAAAGCTCATTTCCATTTCTTTATAAACAAGTTGTATGTCCCAGCATCTTTGGGAGGTTGTGTCGCCTCTATTAAATATACAAAAAGAGTATAAAAAGACTAAACTTACCACCACCAAATACCAATTGTTATTTTTTTTTTCAGGAAACATTTTAAATTAACTTGTCTACATATAATTTCATATATATTAATATACATAAAACGGTCCAATAAGACCATAGGCCCATTTCTATGGATACTACGTTATTTACATTAAGGCCCAGAGTCCATGGGCCCATCACCATGTTATTATTTTTATCGAACACCATAAAACTCCAAACAGCCAATCAGTGAGAAGGACAACCAATGAGACAATCATGAACCAAACCAAAACCTCCACCAGCGATAATAACACCAAACCGGCCATAACCGGAGCAACGTCCACCACCATACCGGAGTGGTTAACCGAGACAATCAACGGTGGATCATTCCGCCACGTCGACCTCCACACCGGAACCAACGGCTGGGCCTCCCCTCCAGGCCACGTCTTCCCTCTCCGCTCCACAAACTACTTCACAAACAAACAAAAATCCCCCGGCGGAGACTACCTCCTCTCTCCCGCCGGCGTTGACTGGCTCAAATCCACTACAAAACTCGACAACATCATGTCTCGTCCCGACAACCGTGTGGCCCACGCAATCAAAAAATCCCACTCCCAAAACAGCTTCATCGTCGCGGCTAACTTCGAAATCTCAAGCAAGGAGGAACACTACCACTTAGTGTTCTACTTCGCCACGGAGGAACCAATCCCCTCAGACTCTCCCCTCAAGCGTTTCATCGACGGAGACGATTCTTACCGTAACCAAAGATTAAAGATAGTCAGCCAAGTCGTGAAAGGTCCTTGGGTGGTTAAGGCAGCGGCAGGGCAGTTCGGGGCGTTTCTTGTCGGAAAGACCGTGAAGTGTAATTACCATAAAGGGTCTAACTACTTTGAGGTCGATGTCGACACAAGTAGCTCGCCGATTATGTCGGCGGTTATACGGTTTTTGTTGGGCTACACCAAGAGCTTTGCGGTCGATATTGGTTTGGTTATTGAGGCGCAAACGGAGGATGAGTTGCCGGAGAGACTCATCGGAGGTGTGAGGGTGTGCCATATGGATTTATCGTCGGCGTTTGTGGTGGGAGAGAAGGCGTTGGGACCGTGTGGAATGTTGGGTTCGGTCATGAGGACATGAACTGAATGTCAACGATGAAGGGATCTAGGTCAATGATGCTCCGATCAGGACAACGGTTAAATTATTTCTCAATGATAAAACCAATAATATAATTTGATCTGTCTGAATACATTTTTTGAAACTTTGTTTATTTCTCTAAGAGTGTTGACTTTTGAGTATTTTAAAGCAATTTGCTTCGTTGTTTTTGATTCTCTTAATTTGCAAGTGTTTAACCTATATAAAAGCAAAATAAACTCAAGTTTCTTTTATTTTTGGGTTTGAGAATACTCATGTTTAATTCTTTTTGACGTTTTGTGTGGATTTTGATTTTTGCAGGATAAAGAGTTGTTTACACGAATTTTTTTAGCATAGTGCAACTAAAATATATAAAACAGTTCAACATAATAAATTAGAGTGAGTTTTGATATAACAATTATTATTTTTGGTTATAAATTTTAAATATGATCATTTGTATAGTTTATAATTAAAATATTAATATTAAAAATAAATAACATCTTTACCTAAAGGGGTGTGCAGCAGTCCTCCAAGTTAGCATTTTTATTTTCCCATATTTTTTTCTTTTCTATGATAAGACTTGCTTTGGACGGAAAGGGCAAACCGGCCATGATTACAGAAAAAAATATCATTTCAAGATCAGTCGGCCACCAAAGGAGCATAACAAGGTTTTACTAACCTAGTATCACCTCTTTAGGTACGTGTCTGAAGACTATTAGATCAAATAGATCTCGTCACCACTACTTACGTACTGTTACCAAAAAGCCCATTTCCATTTATTTATAAGCAAAACAACAAAAATGTATGTCCCAGCATGTGTTCCTTTATAAGCAAAAAAAAAAAAAAACAACAACAAAAAATGTATGTCCCAGCATCTTTGGATATTCAGTCACCATTTATTCATTTAACTATATATAAATTAGAAAATCGACAAAAGTTTGCCACCACCAACTACCAACTGTTACTCTTTTCTTTTTTTTTTCTTTTTGTTGGAAACATTGAAAAAGAAAATGAATTAAACTTTTCTATATACATACATATATATATATATATATATATATATATATATATATATATATATATGTGAAGATTTTATAATATCAATAAAAGAGCTTTACATTGCCCATTTCCATTTCTGTATAAGCAAAATAACAGACCGTCTAATAGCATATATAATTACTGAAGGAGTTGAATAGAGTCTAAATATAAAAAAATATAAAATATAAAAAATGAGAGTTTTTAAAGAAAATATAGATAAATTATGAAAAAATTTTTAAAAAAATTTATATATATTACTAGAGTAAATATTATAATTTTAAAATAAACATTAAATCTAGTTATTAACTTTTAAAACTACTTCCTAAAATACACCATTAATATTGCTTGAACGTGGACTAGAAATAATTTGAAATTACTCTGAAAACAACAAAAATATATGTCCTAGCATGTTCATTTATTTATAAGCAAAACAATAAAAACTGTATGTCCCAGCATTTTTGGGATGTTCTGTCATCATTTATTCATTAATCTCTTACATACTAAAACACAAGTTATCTTATCGATCAAAATTCGTAAACTTGGTCGCAGCGATTAGAACATAGCATGACTATGAACTCGACGAGAAGGGTACGAAGGAGAACACAGTGGTGAGGAACTGAAGAAGGAAGGTTGGGATGAGCCATACGTCTTCCGTGGACTTCTTTTTTTTTACTTTTTTTATTTTTAATAAAAACTTAAATCAGTTACAAAATAACTAAGACTAATTGAAGGGTATAATGTATTTAAAGGAATATAAATCTTAGTTACCTAAATAATCTTCTACAAATTTTACTGAGACAAACTTATGTTGAAAGTGTTTTTTTTTTTGCAGTGTTCCTTTTTTTAAAATTTAATTTTCTTTTGCAATAGAAAGATATAACGTTTCACTTAGATGAAATTTAAAACTTTTGATATTAATTGAAATTGCTATTATTAATAGATTAATATATTAATGAATATTTTATAGTGCCAATCAAAAAGCTATTCAATTGGTTTCTATTATGTTTTCATATATATTAAAAACTAATATTCAGTCATGCATAAAATTAGACACAGATTTTTATAGTTTTAAACTAATTTTAATGTGAAGAAATTTGTTCCAAGATTTGAGAGTACTCGACACTGAAAAAATATTATTATAATGTATTTTAGGTATTTATTTATTTTACATAATAATTTACTATTGATAGAGAGACATGTGTTCTAAACTGGTTCTAATTATATTTCTTTTTTGTTTTTATTTTCCTTATTGATGATATATTTGTCCACATACTATCGATGGAGAAGCTTTGATATTGGATTCTTAAAACATACAACTTCTGCGTTATTTATAGATGCAAAGTTTATGAAACAAAAAATATGTGTTAAAAATTAAAGTTGTTCATCCTGATTTTCAAAGTTGTGAAAATTCTTATCTACAAATAGAATGCATGTGGATCCATATGTTATGAAGAAAATTGTGTAATAAAATTCTTGATTGATGAGAAAATCATTATTATTGCAGGAAGTTGAATCTGATTAGAGTATACTGTAATAAATGAGAAAAATAATAATAATAATAACTAAATACATTTGCAACAAATAATTCTTGTTTTTATAATATATAATTATTAACTAATAACTTTTGTATAAAACCCTAAAACATCTAACCTTCCAAATACATTAAAAAGCTAAATATCAATGTTTATAAACTTTGTTTGAGTGCAAAAAGTTGCAATACATTTTCTAGCAAATATGATCACTTCTGAAACTCTTGAATATGTCAAAGTGGGATTATCCCATGGCAGTCCTATATATTGTCTATCTCTTCAACGGGGTTAAGAATAGACATCTCTTCTTCCAAAGCTTCCCCGATAATCTCATCTGGGAGCTTGACCGTGTTCTGATTTCCATCAGGCAAAAGTAACAGAACACAGATCGGTGAAAGTCTCATCACATTCCTAACCAAAACTGCAAGCCATAGGTTACCAAACTCAGTACGAGTCACCCTAAGGACGTGCAACAATACTCCTCCGAGCCAAGATGAGGTCATGACACCTGCATTATCAGTTGACATGAGTAACGCAAATAAGGTTCCTTCAATTCCCGGAGGACAAAGCCTTGAAGCTAGGACTTGCAGCGACAGCCATTTAAATTGTTTGATCATCTTATAAACGACATCATCGAATACTAGGAAGAGATAGTCCGGTAAGCCAAATTTTCAAGTTGAGACGTAACACAAGAATGAGGTCAAGCATTCCGGTTAATGCAAAGAGAAGTTGAGTCCACCGACAAATGTCATGGAACTTACGATCCTTTAGGACTAGCTGGTACAACGTTGTTCCTAGAATCGATCCTATTGAACCAACTGAGAAAATGAAACCAACCGTTTCCTGAAAAAAAAACCAGAAAAACTCTTCACATTAGACCAAGATTATCGGGGCTTCTTAGCCTCGTCTCCAACCCAATTTCAGCCCAAAAATAAATCAAAACTCGCCTTAAAAGAAAGAGACGTTGGCTAATTAAGAAGTTTTTGGGCCTGGTCCTTAGAACACGTGTCACTTCGCGAAAGGGAAACGGAAGCGGTAGAGGGAAGTCGACTTTTGGTATGGATTTCATTCTCATCGTGTTTCTCTTTTCTCTCTGTCGAGACGCCGATTTCGTGGGCGATACAGACCGATTTCTCTGCTCTCTCTCTCTCGTGTCTCTCTTCTCATTCTCATCGTGCCGCATCGAATCTACAACAGGTATGTGTTCCTTGTCTGAATCTAAATCATTAGTTGTTTTTGTTTTTGTTTTGATTCGTTTTTGCATGCGATACAGACCGATTTCTCTGCTCTCTCTCTCGTGTCTCTCTTCTCATTCTCATCGTGCCGCATCGAATCTACAACAGGTATGTGTTCCTTGTCTGAATCTAAATCATTAGTTGATTTTGTTTTTGTTTTGATTCGTTTTTGCATGCGTTGTGTCTGGACTCCAGTTTGATTGGTCTGTTTTGACGGTTTGGTTGGTCTGTTTTGACGGTTTGGTTGGTCTGTTTTTGACGGTTTGGTTTGACTTCGTGTTTGCTGTTGGTGATTCTGTGTTTGATTGGTCTGTTTCTTGTAATGAATTGGTTAAAGTGACGGATTGTATACTTAGTGCAATCTGAGTTTTTTTCCTTGATTGTATCCTCCGTGTTCGATCAGTGAGTTTTTCTTAGTAAATATACTTGAAACTAGTTACTGGTCTATGTGTTTGATTGTATACCATAGGTTTAGTTATTGGTGTTAGAAGGCAATGTTTTTATTCATTTACTTGATGAGTACCTAGTCGAGTTTGAACACAACTCGTGAACCATAGGTTTATGTTTTCGTACTTATTAATTGATTGCTTTTTGGTTGTTATGATCGTAATAACTTCTGTAACANTGACCTTCGCGTCGGTGACATCGTCATCTTCAAAAAAGAAAGACACATGGTCTTTCATGTAACTCCGATGGGTCCTAGCTGCTGTGAGATTATCTATACTCGTCCTCCCTTGATCAAGGCCGAAGCCTCCTCACATGCTGCTGCTGCAGGTGAGATTAGTAAGTTCCAATTAAAACTCACTGTCCTCTTTTGATTCCTAAATTTTTTGTCTTATGGATCAGGAGGATCAGGAAGGGCTGATTTTATCTCATTTGAGTATTGTTTCTTGGTTGAGGTCACGGATAAGCACCTAGAAGAAGACATACTTGTAAGTAGTTATTGGTCTATGTGTGTTTAATTCAAAACTTAACCAAGACTAACTTTCATTTGTTATGTGTTTGCAGCTGTTTCCTGCGGCAGCTACGCAGCAATGTAGTGTGTTGAACAAACAATGCCAGGAGGTGATACTAGTGAACAAGGAGGGAAACTCATGGGTTGCGAATTTGTTATTTTGCGAATCAAAGAGCATGTATTACATCAGAGGAGGGTGGACGAAGTTCTGTTGTGATAACATATACGACATTGGTTGCTTAGTGGTCTTCAATGTCGTTGGAGATGGCAAAACTGCTCCTCTGTTGTGTGTTTGTCCTGAAAGCGAAGAGTGCCGCCAAATACTAAAGAAATATTCTAGCAGCAAGAGAGGCTAGTTTGGTGGTTGTTTGTATGTGTGTATTACTATGTGGTGATGGTTGTTGTTTGCTGGAACTTTGTTGTTGTTGTTGTTTTGGCTTCAAGGATGTAACTTTGTAATGTTTATTATCTTTGAAATGACTATGTCTTAAAATTAAGATGTTAATTACTAAGAGATGATATAAAGTTCCAGCAATAATGTGCATATTTGCTATTGTTTCTTAACAATGTCTCTTACTCTAAGAATAATAATAAGAAAAGCTAAGAATTCAAAATTATGTCCCAGCAATAATGTTGGTCTTACACATTTTTAAGGTGTTAGGGTCCTAAGATTTTTAAAACCATAAACATTTTAATATGAATCTTAATAAAAAAAATCTTTAGGAGTTATGGGGGTTAATACATATACTTAATGTCTTTTTAAAAAATTGAAGATTACCACAAATGTTTCATTGCACTTTGCCTATGATAGGCTAGCCCTGTTTTATTTATTTCAAATATAAACTACACTTTGTTTAGCAAAAATAAAAATAAAAAAATAAACTACAGGTTGTTGTTTTAGGAAATACCTGAGCAACCATAGGACCATCCTTTGAAGCTGTGAACCAATAGAAGAAACCTTCATCAATGTCCAAACTAAGAGCAAAGGAAATGTACATATACAAAGACGGGTGCCATACATATGGACACTTCATTGTCCTCCACACTGCTTTCCCTGCGTCGATAAATTTTTGGTTTACCTGAATTGATACTAACAAGTGTCAATAAAGTCATGTGGGTAGAAGACCAAGCTAGTGAAGAGAGAATGAGACTTTACCTGTTTGTAAGAGAAACCAGTAACGCGGGACTCGCTAAACACAATCCCCACCACCGATACCACCGGAAATGGAAATGTCAGCAAGCCAAACACTCCCTAATATGAAAAATAGAGACATGACATTATAGAGAAATCAGCTAATGACAGAGATCATGGCGCAAAGACTCCCTAACCTTGGAGCCAACAAGATGAACTAAGATACCACTCATGAAGAAACCAAGAAGTGCTCCAATAGAGGAGCTGTAGCTGCCCAAACTCTGCATATCCGATGTAAGAGAAGGGTGTGTGTTGCTTTTGTGTGCAATGCAAGCATCAATGGTTACATCAGCGATCGCCATTCCAGCATTTGATATTGTCATCCACAAAAGTGCCAAGTATATGTGTAATCACTAAGAATCGAAATGAACAGCATAGATCCCACTCCAAGCACCCCTGATTTTTTTTTTTTTTTTTAAATCAAAAATTGGTATATTTAAAAATAAAATTAAAGTATCAGTGTTATAAAAAAAAAAAAATTAAAGATGCTGATTCTAGAAGTGACTTGAATCTCAGTGCAATAGTAAAATGCGCTACTCTTTGAATCAATATATCTTTTAGGATTATGAAAAATACATTTAGTAGATAAATAAATATTTATAAGGGAAAAATTAATATCATATTTTGAGGTTATATATATATATATATATATATATATATATATATATATATATATATATATATATATATATATATATATATATGTGGATCTAATGAGTTACAGTAATCTATTCACATATTCAATTTACAAACCTTAAAACGAGTATTTACCTTAATCGTGTTTGCTAAGTGTTCTTGCTTTCTTTGTGTTTGATTCAAGAAAACAAAAAAATTATGTACCTGCTAATATGAAGTAAGGGCGTCTGTGGAAGCCAAAGATGGGAAGAACATCAATGAGAATGCCCCAAAGAGGCTTAATGATCCATGGAATCCTGGTGATTGCAGTAAAAGCCTGAGATTCAGAAGGCTGAACCTTTTGAACATCTTTCATGTAGTAGTCTTTGGCTACATCACGCAATGAGCCACCAAGCCCTTGGTTTATTCCGTATATTGAGACCACACCGAACACAAAGGTCCAGTCAAGCTCTGTCACCAGCCTCTTTAGCCACAGCACTGGACCGCTAACCACATTACGGAAACGACTTACTAACATAGCTGGTGTCCGTTCTAAGCTTGAATGTTGAAACTTCTGATGTGGGTTTGGTCTGGTTCTGTGGGAAGCAGATCTAGGACCAGAGTTGTCTCAAGATAAGAAATGAAAGGATAGAACTCAGATCAGAACGATGAAAGGGAGATGTTTGACCAAAACGGTCTTAATTCGTCTGTTTCTTACAGAGAACATTCTGTCTATTTATGTTAAAAATCCATTATGTCTAATTTTTACGTATCTTTCTATTACACCTTATAAATAAAAACTATTTATTTAAATTGATAAGGTTTTTCTTCACTTGATGACAAAATACATATGGGACATATATTAATTGGCCAAAGAGCTTACTGATAGTATAAATTCAACATAAATAAAATGTATATATTATCAAGAAAAAAAATTACATTATACCCAAAAAAATTAAAAATATAATATGATAATCAATTCTTTATTATTGGACATACATGTGAATGTGTATATATATACATGTGTACACATGTACAAAATTGCCTCATGTTTGTGTGTACATATATGCATCTATACATTACCAATAAAGTTGTTAAATTGTACCATAAAAATATAATAAAAGATTTCTAATTAAAAATAATTAGATAGTATGATAATCAAAATTTACTTTTAGGTATACATGTGAAAATGTACATATATACATGTGTTTATGTGTGTATATTTACATGTGTACTTGTGTATATCATATTACACAAAAATTCACTATCCACATCAATGTTCTAAAAATCGGTCTAGGCGTCGACTAGACGTCCGTCTAGGCGGCAAATCCCCTCTCACCGAAACGATTTTCTTAAAATCCGATTTATACAATTCAAGTCAGTTTAAACCATGTTAAATCAGTTTAAATTGCTCTAAAATAGTTATAATTAGTTTAAATTAGTATAAATTTTTTTAATTAAGTAATAATTTAGGAAATAATAACAAATTTGTGTAATTTATTTTATTTTGTATATCAGATTTTGATAATTTATTAAAATAAAATTATAATTAAACCAAAAAACTTAAATCGCTTATATAAATGTAAAATATATATAAAATAAATCAATAATTCGTTAACGTCTAATTCCCGCCTAGGCCCCGAATAATCCGCCTAGGCGCTAGTCCTCTATAGAACGCCTAGTTTCCGCCTAACGATTTTTAGAACATTGATCCACATATACAACACTTATATGTATAACTTAGCAATGATTCATATGTATTCACTGTAAAAAATTCATCAAACCCATATATTATTCACATGTACATATTAGGTGTACATGTACATAAATACATGTGTTTGTGTGTATATATTTACATGCATATTTGTGTTTATCATATTACATAAAAATTTACTATTTACATATACAACGACTTATATGTATAATTTAACGCCTGAATAGCAGCAATATCCGAACAGGGTTCTGGGACATCAGGAGAATCTGCAGGAGATAAAACGTTGAAGAAGTCTTCAGAACTTAAATCTTTCGACATGCATTCAGTAGTTCCCGCGACAGAAATTTTTTTATTGTTCATATTGTCAGAGAAAGAGCAGAGAGTTTGTGTCTTCCTTCTTCAGGACATAATCAGAGTGGTTGATATATTCCTGTAAGAAGAGAAGAAGCAGACCATCAATCTCAGGGTCAGTAATTAATCAATTTTAGCTAAAAGTCTACGTGTCACTTTAGGACATCACTTGCATGGAGTTTGACTTGTAAGTCAAGCAAAGCTTACTATAATTAGTAAGTCCATAGGCACCACGGATCTCGGAGGTTTTGCCGGAAAGTTCTGAACACCATTGGTTCCAGAAAACGTTGAACCGCTGCTTTCTGTTTTTTTTGGTTCTTTTCTTTCTCTCCTTCTCCTTCATTCCTTATTCCACGCAGCATCTGTGTGTGTAAGTAGTGATGAGCCAAAGACAAAGGTCTTGCTCAGCACAACGGCCCAACAGAAGATGCAAGACAACAATGTGGGCTTGGAGCTAAATGACAAAGACAGAGTTCTGCAGTCAGTCTCCAACGGTAAAGCAACGCAACGTTCATGCCGTAGTACTATCAACACAGCTCAGCAATTACAGCTATTCAATAGATTCGATGCTCTTGTATGCTGACGTGTTGTATTATCTTAACCTAGTGTGCTCATGTATATAAGAGCCCTCTGCCTCAGGTTGTAATCTTTGAGTGAAATAAGATACATAAAGTTTATCTTCTCTCCAAGCTTTCCTAAAGCTTTCATGGTATCAGAGCTCCATGGCGAGCGTTCCTGATCTTTTTTCATCCTCTCCTTTTTCCATTACTCAGTGTGTTACCTTGAAACTGTCTGACAAGAACTATCCGTCATGGAAGTTCCAGTTCGAACAGTTTCTCATCAGTCTCTCTCTTCTTGGTCACGTTACCGGAGCCACTCCGCAACCGGCACCAACTCTCATCGTCCGTACTGAAGAACAAACCTCAGAAACCGTCAACCCAGAGTATGACAAATGGAATCGTACCGACAAGTTAGTCATGGCCTGGTTAGTCGGTTCTCTGACTGAAGATGCTATCAAAGGGATCTACGGTCTCAGATCTGCTCATGAGATCTGGATCCATCTGGCACAGCGTTACAACCGAGTTACTCCGACGAGAAAGCTTGATATTCAGAGTCGTATACAGTCAATGAAGAAAGGCAACATGTCTTTCATCTCATACGTATCTGAAATCAAGGAGCTTTGCGATCAACTTGACTCCATAGGCGCTCCGCTTACTGACCAAGAAAAGATCTACGGTGTGCTTCGCGGTCTCGGACGCGAGTATGAGTCAATCACTACCGTTATCAAAAACTCGATGGATTGTTTCCCTGGTCCCAACTTTGATGACGTGGTGTTCAAGTTAACAGCTTTTGATGAGAAGCTTACCACTTACGAAACCAACTCTGAGCCTTCTCCTCATCAAGCCTTTTACACAAACAGAGGTGGTTCGTCTTCGCGTGGACGTGGTGGTTACAGAGGTCGAGGTCGCGGTTATTCTACTCAAGGCCGAGGCTTCCCTCAGCAGCTTAACCAAGGAGGTGGCCGTAGCAACACTCAGACCGACAATCGTGCTGCGTGTCAGATATGCAACAAGTTTGGGCATCCAGCCTACCGTTGTTACAAACGTTTTGATCATTCATACCAGACTGAAGAGCTTGCGCGTGCTTTTGCTGCAATGAAAACTTCTCAGTCCCCAGACTGGTACGCTGATTCTGCTGCCTCTGCGCACATAACCAACTCAACGTCTCACCTTCAGAACTCCGAACCTTATTTTGGAGAGGATGCAGTCCTTGTTGGCAATGGTGATTTCCTTCCTATAACACACGTTGGCTCAGCTGTTCTTCCTAGTCTACAAGGTAATATCTTTCTGAACGATGTCCTAGTCTGTCCAGATATTGCTAAGTCTTTGTTATCAGTCTCCAAACTTACATCTGATTACCCATGTGCTGTTGAGTTCGACTCTGATGGTGTTGTTGTTAAGGATAAACAGACAAGGCAGCTGCTGACAAAAGGAAGTAGACAAAAGGATCTTTATGTGTTGGAGAACATGAAGTTTGTGGCTTATTACTCATCAAGACAACAAGCTGCAACGGATTCTGTTTGGCATATGAGGCTGGGCCATCCTCATCTAGACATTCTCCAACGTCTTTCTTTTAATAAGGCCATAGTAGTGAATAAGACATCTTCTCGTCTGTGTGAAGCATGTCAAATGGGAAAGATATCCAAACTCCCTTTTTCTTCTTCATCGTTTGCAGCTAAGAGACCTCTAGAACGTGTTCATTGTGATTTGTGGGGACCCTCACCTGTTTTATCTACTCAAGGCTTTCGCTATTATGCAATTTTCATCGACAATTTCTCTAGATACACATGGCTCTTTCCATTAAAGATGAAGTCTGATTTCCATAGTGTCTTCCTTCGCTTTCAAACTCTGGTTGAGAACCAACTTGAAACGAAGATAAAGATTTTCCAATCTGATGGAGGGGGTGAATTCATCAGTCGTCAGCTTGTGAGTCATCTAGCAAATTGTGGCATCAAACATATGATTTCATGTCCTCACACGCCAGAACAGAACGGCCTAGCTGAACGAAAACATCGACACGTTACAGAACTTGGTCTAGCAATGATGTTTCAGAGTAAAGTCCCACATCATCTTTGGCTTGAAGCTTTTCTCACTGCGGTTTACCTCGGTAATCTCTTGCCTTCTTCTGTGTTACCCCAGCAACAGAGCCCGTAAGAAATGCTTGTGGGTACCTCACCTGTGTATACTTCTCTCAGAGTATTTGGATGCAGTTGCTTTCCAATGTTGCGACCTTATCAGCAAAACAATTTCGATCCTAAGTCTTTACACTGTGTTTTCGTTGGTTACAGTGAGCAACATAAAGGATACAGGTGTCTCCACCCTCCATCTGGTCGAATCTACATCAGTCGTCATGTACTTTTTGAAGAAGAAAGTTTTCCATACACTGGTGATTACCAACAGTTTCAGACATCTGTTGACACTCCTTTGCTAAAAGCTTGGCAGTCAAGTTTCTTTCAGCCGTCATCTGCTGAAGAAGTTGAGATGTCTCCTGCTGAAGACTGTTTTATGCTAATTGTTCTTTACAATTAAGAAAAGATAATCGTAAAAAAAATTATATAAAAATTTTATTTTTCCTTTTTAAAATATTTCTACGCTCATAATGTTAATTTTTCTTTATTCAAATCCTAATTAAAAAGGTCAAAACGAAAAAATTATTAGATAGTAATTATCCTTTTAAGAAAAACATAAATAGTTTCCTACTCTCATAATAAAAAAGGATAATTTAAAAAAAAAACATATTTTTCCTTTTAAAATAATTTTACTCTCATAATGCTAATTTTCTTTTATTCAAATTCTAATTAAAAAGGTCAAAACGAAAAAAAGAATCTTATTATAATAAAATGATTTTTAAAATTTATTAAATAAGAAAAATCTTATTATAATAAAACAATTTTTTAAAATATTCATAGTAAT